ATGTTTTATTCACTTGTTAAGTAGGAAAGGACTGACAACTATTGTCTGTTTTATCAGTTACTCAAAGCACATAAATTCCATCAAAAACCCCACTTTGTCCATAGACACTTATAGGCTTATAAGGATTCAGTCACCAAAACTCATTACAGTAAGTTTTAAGAAAAAACAAAATTATAGTAGATCTTAGGAAAAAATTTTACTAGTAAGGCCCAAACCCAAGGTGAAATTAAAAGGTGATTCCCCTAACTATGCTCCAACTCCAAAATAAAGAGAATTTTGGCATGGTTTTCATGTACCTTGTTAATGTTAATTATTTTGAGATCCTTTAAAGTAGGGTTTCTTAACAGAAATGGTGTTGGTGTTTTGGGGGGCAAGCTGTTCCACTGTAAGAGGTTTAGCAACATCTCTGCCTGCACTATTAGATGCCAGTTGTGACAACCAAAAATATCTTCAAATATTGCCAAATGTCCATGGGAAGTACAGAGGTGAGAAAGAAAATTGCCCCAAGTTCAGCATTCTTGCTTTGAATGATAAAATGTTTTATAAAAATATTTTTATAAAGCAGTTTTTCAAAATAATTTTCTACTAGCCAGCTGGATCAGTTGAAGAGAATTTAAGATTTTTATTAAAGACTACTGTCTCTATTTGACTTTACAGTATATGTAAATTATGACTTAATGAAATAACACATAATTAATAAATACATGATTTACACAATTTAATGTGAATAATGTTTAATGAATTTCAGAGAATATTAAACAAACATAGTCTTTTATGTCATGAATCTTAAGGTTTCTATGCATATTTTAGAAAAATATTTTGATTTTGGATTTTAAAATGGTTAAAATCAGCCTGCTATTGGGGAAAAAAATGTTCCAGTAGAAAAATGTGAATTGATCATTGTTTCATTCAATTAATGTTTAATTATTGATAAAAATGTATTTGTAGGTAACAGACTGTTTACATTGTTAAGACTTAATCCTGCAGACAAAAACTCATTGATACATAGTTCTATGTGCTGCTGTGGTGCACTTAGTTCTGATCACGTGTAGGCTTTCCCTAAAGAAGCAGGAGGGGAAAAAGTGAATTTAAGACCACAGTTTATATTACAAGGGTTGTGACTTGTAATATATTTTTTGGCTTAAGTGCAAATTCTCAACCCAATGTCTTAGAACCACTATAAACCAGAGGTCAAAAGAGAATTGTAGAGGCCACTGATCTTTTTAAAAATCACTACTAATTTATACTACTTATGTTTTCCACACTTAAACTTATAAAATTTTCTTCTACTTAACAAAATAAGCAATTTCTCATAATTTAAAGAACAGCTGGTGAATAATCAAAAATTCTGATCTCATAAAATTAGATCAATATTTTCACTGCAATGCCTTTTTGTCAGTTAATTTTGCAGTGCCAGGAAATCTACAAAACATTTGTCAAATGGTATTCTCAGGAGTAAGCAATTAAGAGGCTTTTCTGTTCTTTGTTAGAAAGGACAAGGGAAGGAATGAATGAAATACAGTAATCTACCTGAGGTTTAGTAAGATAGTGCTTTAAAAATAGGACATTGAATGCAATCTATAACTAAGATCTGGACTATTAAATATAAAAACAAACATACATTTAAGTGAAGGTAGTATCATCTGAAAATCTGAATGCCAAATTAATGAATAAATGTTTGAAATTTTAATTCTGTTATTTCAGACTGTAAAATACCTTTTTTAAACTTCAAAGATTTTTTACTGTAAATAAAATTTTAAAATAATTGTCTTTAGGTACATTAAAAAATAAAAACCAACTCTCACCATCAATACAGGGCACAAGAAAGGGAAACCAACATCTCCTCCAAAAGTCCAAATAACACACAAAAGACTCGGTCTCATTGTCTTCCAGTTGTGACTGTCAGAGACAGTACTAACGTCTTCATCAAGAAATTCAGACAGATTAAGTTACTGCATTCTTAAAATTCCTCATAATTCAAAATTATGTGGGAAAGAAAACAAAAGCACTGTTTCTACGGCTTTTGACTTAGGGAAAGTCAATGAAAAGATAAGGCAAAACGCGTACTGAGAATGCCTTGACTATTAGCAGTGTGTTTCTCTGGGAAATGTGAGAGTCGGTTCTGCAGGGTGTGCTCAGCGCCCGCGCACCTCTCTCCTCTACAGACGAAAATCAGTAGCTGCGAAATGAGGAGCGAGAGCCCCATATGTGCAGAAGTGACGAGCTAAACTCCAAAGATTCTAGCATAAACTTCACAACTCAGGGGGGACACTGTGTCCAGGTCCACAGAGTCTTCTACATGCTATTATTTCCAAAACTTGCGCCATAAAATAAAACCCTGTCTCTGAAAAGAGCAGAATAGATGTCTCTGGATCCTCGCGTTTGGTCCAAGTATTCGTGTCTCCACCCGCAACCTCTGGCCTTAGAAAACTCAGTAGCCGCCCAACTGCCCCGGAGGCCAGGGCTGCGGATGCATTTTCTCTTCTCCTGGTCAAGGAAAGAAGGTGGGGTGGGATGGCAGTGTGGGGTCAGGATCAGAAACTGGAGGTTGCCTGCAGTCTGACACAAAGGCTCAAAATGATGTTTTAAATCTATTTTTCCATAAAATTAAGAAAAGCCAACCAGAACTGCAGGTGGTGGACTTTCCCATCCCAGCCTTGCTGGGGAGCAGCGCACCCAGGAAAGCTGCGCTCTAAAGGTGGGGCGAGAGTGACTGCTTCACCAGGAGGGTTACTCTCAGGGAACCCCGAAGCTCCCAGGCGTGGAGGCGCAGCCCACTTATTCCTTCCCTCCCTCGCCGCGGCGTGAAGCTCCAAGATGTCCTGGGGCATTTATTTCCTTTGAGTTAATAAAATTAAACCAAGTCCCTAGCGATAGGGAAGACAGGACCGGCTCACAGGGGACCCCAAGCTCCAGGCGCTCCTAAGGCCTCGGAGCTCCACTCAGCACCAGGGTGCCCGCGCCCCAGAGCCCCAGACACGCGAAAGCCAAAGCGCCCGGGACCCGATATGTGCAGAACTATTGTCCAAGAAACGGGCTACAGTGTAACCATGCCCGTTTCGCGGATGGGGTTCCCGGACAGCGACTAAAATGAACATCTGCTCAGAAAGGCTAAGCGCAAAAACGAGTCCGTTTTTCCCAGGCGCCGCGTTCACACCACGCGTGTGCAGGCGAGGACGAGGGTCCAGGCCGCCCGCTGGCGCCGGGCTCCCGGGCTGCTCTCTCCTGCACACGCCAAGGTCGAGTGGGACGCGTTTCCGCCACCGACAGGCAGGCGTTCAGAGAGGGAATGCGGACAGCACTGCAAGCCAGAGCAAGAGGAAGCCTCCCTTCCCTGGCCAGAAGTCTGGGAGCGCAGTTCTCGGGGGTCCGGCCTCATTCCTGCAGGTCCACTAGGCGCGGTTTTCGCACCCTGGATTCTCCTCGGATTTGTGTACTGGACCCATGTGTGCGATGCTTCTCGCTAAGGTTGACCTTCTGACTGACTGGAAGTTGCTCCGAGCTAGGGAAGGGTTATGCTTTGTCATCATCCTCAGCAACCTCTTTATTTTGCCCCTACCCTTCTTATTTCAAGAAAATGAGCTCTCAGAAGAGAAAAGTTTTCTGAGGAGGTGACCCACAATCTCACAGAAATGATGCAAATGGTTCCAGGGCTTTTGTCTTCCCCACTGCTATTTTTTTTCGAGTGAACTGTAAAGATCTGTGAAAATAATATCAGGGTTTTCCGTCAGAATGAGCTTTGCTCTGCACTCAGGCGTGGCATGATCTGACCCGACACCTCCAACCATCTGTGCTATCTATCTGCCTTCTGATTTACCAGATCTGTACAAGCCACATACAGATTGTGCTTGATACTAAAGAAAAGATAGTCAAGCCCGGTGCAGTTCAATGGTGAGCTTTTCTATCTGATTCCTTTCTGGAAATGAACCTGCCAAAGGTCTTCTTGGACTTTCCGTGGGATATCCTCTCTATGGGGTATTTTCTTCAAATTAAACAAACCTTTATCGAAGGCTCAGATGAGATTGTGGTTTCTTTGAACCAGGCCTCAGAAAACGGTATGATGTAGATGTCAATTGGGAATCAATAGAAGTTTCCAATGCAATCTACAGGCCAGAAAGGCCTTCTTCTCCACAGGAAGGGTCAACACCCAGAGGCTTAGGAAGTGCTTTTAGCCCCTTACACAAAACACACAAAGTTGTGGATCCTCCTAATTTACCCTCACTGAATTTCTTTTGGGGAAAAAAGTTTCCAAGATTTCTTTCTCCAGCTCCAGTTATGTGTCTAATACAGGGCACAGGCAAAATTAGCCTGCATGAAAGGAACAGATCTATATTTTCAAGATGATCTTTGAAACAGCCTTTTAAATTGCTGTCCTGACCTAACAATGACTTCTCACTCTAGCTGAGGCTGTGCTTCACATTTATTCAAGTCCATTAAACTGGAGAGGGGACTAAAAAGTACAATCTTTAGTTGAATGAAGCTCCTCCAGATCCCTTTTCTTGACGTGTTCTAACTTGTCAGGGTGAGCATCTACGCTAGCAAGTCTCCTTGCTCTAGTTCAACATCATTTTAGGAGACTTTGAAGGACACGGGGATGGAATGTAAACTGACCTCTTCTACAGATTCCTGGTCCTGTTCCTTCTGCTCCAACTTTGCTTTCCATTCAGCTGCTCTGGCAGCCGGAAAAGGGGAAGAGAGAAGCAAGCTCGGGTGGGTGTTTGGAGATATCAAAAGATCCACTCTAACACCCTCTCTCCTTCGTGCGTGCTCTCCACGAAGGCTTAGCTGCTTGTTACAACTAAACTTGCAAATTCTTGGAGAATGTCCATTTTGCCCGTCCTCTTTGTCCTCTGGAGACCTTTCCACCGAAGCATCGCATAAACCCAAAGTGATCCTCGTGGCATCCCTGTCTCTGGGGGGTGGGGGAGGGAGGGGCAGGACGGGGAGAGCGAACCGCTCCGCGCTGGCTCATTTCCCCTCAGCCACTCACTCCTGCGGCTGTGCATCCTCCAGCTTCCGTCAAATACCGAGAGAAAGTCCCCCGCTAGCGGCGGGCGCTGTCGAGCGCTGGGAGGTGCTGAAACGGGTCCTGCGCTCTGGTCGCGGCTTGATTGGCAGAACCTGCCGGTGACTGACAGGGGTCTCCATGGCGCCCGCGCTGCCAGTCCGCCCACCCCAGTAGCCGCGCCCGCGGCCTGGTGCGTGCGCGCGGGAGGCGGCCGAGCCCGAGCCTGGAACCCGCACCTGCTCCTGTCGGGGCCGCTCGCTCGCGCTCGGAGCCTGAAGTCCCCTCATCGGAAGAGCCTGGCGCACCCGGCGCGGCCGGAGGCCGTCTGCTCGCCGCGCGTGGCGTCCCGGGCCCGGTGCCCCCGCCGCTGCCCACGCTGCCTCCATGTTCCAGCTGCCCATCCTTAATTTCAGCCCCCAGCAGGTGGCCGGGGTGTGCGAGACGCTGGAGGAGAGCGGCGATGTGGAGCGCCTGGGTCGCTTCCTGTGGTCGCTCCCCGTGGCCCCCGCGGCCTGCGAGGCCCTCAACAAGAACGAGTCGGTGCTGCGCGCCAGAGCCATCGTGGCCTTTCACGGCGGCAACTACCGCGAGCTCTACCACATCCTGGAAACCCACAAGTTCACCAAGGAGTCGCACGCCAAGCTGCAGGCACTGTGGCTCGAGGCGCACTACCAGGAGGCGGAGAAGCTGCGCGGGCGGCCCCTGGGCCCGGTGGACAAGTACCGCGTCCGGAAGAAGTTCCCGCTGCCGCGCACCATCTGGGACGGCGAGCAGAAGACGCACTGCTTCAAGGAGCGCACGCGGCACCTGCTGCGCGAGTGGTACCTGCAGGACCCCTACCCCAACCCCAGCAAAAAGCGTGAGCTCGCCCAGGCAACCGGACTGACCCCCACGCAGGTGGGCAACTGGTTCAAAAACCGCCGACAAAGGGACCGGGCGGCTGCAGCTAAGAACAGGTCGGTACCAGGCCTCCGCGCCCCGGAGTGGGCGGGAGGAGGCTGTCCTGGCGTCCCGGCCTGGTGCTGGAGACTGCGAGGTTGTAGGAGCTGCGGCGCGGTGGCCTTCGGTTTGCGCACCGCAGTTCAAGGCTCCTGCGCGAGGGCTCCTTTATGGGGCTTCTGCTCCTTACCCTCTGGAGCCTCGGTCACCGCAGCAGCTGGTCCCTGTGACCGAAACTAAGGCTTCAATGGGGAAAATGAAAGGTTAAAATTCCAGAAACAATTAGGAACCCCAAGGCCAAAGCTAATTCTTGCCTGCTTGGGTCCAGGTTTCTACCAGTAAGAGAGGCCTGGCTTGTTAGCAATGTGTCTGCTGGCTTCCTGTTACTATTTTTAAAGGCCAAGTGCATCCCTCTCTAATGTTTTGAGAACACTTCTCAAAGGACTCTTGTTTCTAAGAAGTAGAAAACTGCCCTCCTCCCACGTGCGACTAACCTTGTTTCAAAAGAGCAAAAACTACCTCCCGTCTGCTTTCCTTCTGGGTGTGTGCATCTTGATTACCCAAACATTTGGGCCAAGAGCCAGCCTCGCCCCCGCCCCCGGGTCCAAATTCTCCCTGGCAGCAATGATTACCTTTAGCTCGAGGCGGCCTGGCCCCACGGGCGCTGCTCAGGCCTGAGTCCCAAGAACCTGCACTGCGGAAAGGGGGTGCCCCATCCCGGAGCCTGGCCTGCCGTAAGCTCCCACCTCAGGCATTTCCAGACAGGTCTGTAAGTGGGAAAGACGCCCCAGCGTCCCAAAGACAGGGGATGCGAGGAGGCCGGCAGGGCCTGCGGGAGCTGCAGGGCTCCCCACTTTCCCGCCTCTCCAACGATCTCCTTCGCCCCGCGGTCCCCACCTAATGGCCCGGGTCTGAGGAAGCAGGCAGGGCCTTGGGGCTGGAGGGTGCGAGCCGCGAGCCGGGGAGGGGGCGACAGCAGCGGTGACCCGTGTCCTTCCTTCTCCATAGATTGCAGCAGCAGGTTCTGGCGCAAGGCTCAGGCCGGGCGCTGCGGGCCGAGAGCGAAGGGACGCCGGAGCTGCTGGGCGTCGCCTCCAGCCCCGCTGCCAGTCTGTCCAGCAAGGCAGCCACGTCGGCCATCTCCATCACCTCCAGCGACAGCGAATGCGACATCTGAGTCCAACCTGCCCTCCCAGACGCAGAATCCGGTGTAAAAATGAGATAAGCAAGATGGAAAAAGACAGAATGGGAGACCAAACAATCCGGCGCTGGCGAAGTCCGGTGGCCAGGGACCCGCGGGTTGCAACCTCTGCCGCGTTCTGGCCCAGCTCGAGCGACTCCTTCGGCCAGACCGCAGGGGCCCGCGGTGAGGCCGGACCGGGCACCAGGCTCTTCTCGCTTCGCTTTTTTCCTAAGGATTTTTCAGCAAAGCCGCCTTTGGAATACGAACTGCATGCTGAGCGCCAGCCCTGAGTCTCCTGTGGGTATTTCATGTCAAAGGACACTGTTATATAACTTTTGCTTTAAATGTTTTTTTTAAAAACAAAGCATATATATACACATATATACTGTTTACTTATTTAAGAGACTGACAGGTAGGTTTCTCTGATACGATTTGTGTAGAGAAGCCAAACAATAAAAAGAAAATTGGAGGACAGACTTTCTTAAGACAATGGCTACTGAGACTCAAAAAATAAATGTGTTCTTATTCCTTTTACCAGGCATGCAGGGACGGATTCTTGTGCAAATAGTCTCACAGGAGCCTTCTCTGTGTCATACACCTTCTCTACTGTTTGCTGGTGCAGTTTTAAGACATCCAATGGTAGGTCCATGACCACCTGCAATGTCAAACTGTGTATATGTATGTGTGTGCATACATATATATATATATATATATATATATATATATATATATGTATACACATATTATAGGATAAATATTGGCAACAGAGCAAGCCCTGTAAGGCAACTTGCCACATCTCCAGCATGAGAAACTAGTTCCTCCACCTGGCACTTACTTTTAGGAAGAGCTTTAAGGAGTAATTTGGGAAACCAAACCTTGGGATCTAGTAGTAAATACTACTTTAGAAAAATGCAGAACTATCTGAGATAGGCTCTGCAACAGACAGGGTTTCAATCATCTTTGAGGCCCCCTCCCTCAAAAGCAGCGACTGGCCAGGACCTTTCTAAGTAAACATCAGTTGCCCTTGAAATGGAGCTTGTTTTAAAATAATACAGGAGAAGGACAGCAGGAGTTGTACGTAACTAGGCTAGTAACTTCTTGCTAGGGAAGCCAGTTTTAATCAAACAAATGATTTTTAATAACAGAAATACCAAGAAAGGGGATAATATGTAAACTGATCATTACTGAGAGTAAAACAAGGCTGCAGAGAAATGATGGCATTTAAAAAATCTGATTTCCACCCTAAACATGAAACAAGCTATCAAGAGCCTCACTGTCCTGGAAGTAGCCTCAATTAAAAATAACAAATATTCTTAGCATTTAGTTTTTGTCTCCGGTGTGCACACACACACACACACACACCCCACTGTCCTGACTCTAAGAAAGTAAATGCTATCCAAAGAGTCTCTAAGCTTGCTTAGTGAAATGGATTGGCTATTATAAAATTTGACATTGATCTTTAAATCACTTGAGCTGGCCTTCCCTCCCCACCCGCCTGGAGTCTTTTCAGTTTGCTTCTCTGTCCTTAAGAGATGCTCTTTGGGTCAGAAGCTGGTAACTTCTTTAGGCAGAAATGCAAAGCAAACAAAAACAATGAGGTCGTGGAAGACAAAAAGCAGTCACCCGACACAGTAGACTTCGGAAGCCCAGGGCATGAATAGTTGTTGATGCCTGATTTCTAAATTGCTTGAGTAGGTTTGGCTCATCTGGACTTTGTAAACGGCCGCTGCTGTGTACAGTGGTCCTTATCCAGACAGTTCTCGGGGCTGGTGGAAGTCTCTGTGATGGAGCTAGCCCTCTTCCCAAAAACAAGCTCACGTTCTTATGTGGGTCCGGAGGCTGTGACCGCAGAGCCCCTTCCAGACTGTTTTGTCAACCTGTAGAGCCCCAGGTAGTTCCCTTACCACCAAGGGACAGCTTAGGACTCTGGTGGGGTGAGGAAAGCACCTGTACTATGAACCCACTCTTGAGACACTCACTGTCAAGGTCTAACAAGGTCGGTCCTCTGCCAGGCACCTGAACTGTTTCTTTAAATTTTGCACTCTAGGTGCCTCTTCTATCTCACCTTAGTCCTAAATCTGCCAAGCAGTATTGCACTTAAATGAAAAATTCAGGATATCCCAGTCTTGTGCCCCAGCTCTACCCACTTCTAGCTATCGAGTTGCCCAGAGCTGGCATTTGGAGAAGTTTTTTTGGGCAGAGTTTATCTTTTTAATTTGATGATTCCAGGACCAAAAGAGGGGATAAACAGACTAATTAGTGGGATGATTTTTAAAGGAATTTTAAGTTCTAAAAATTACAACCCACTCACCAGTTTAAATATGCCTATAACCTGAAAGAAATGTCATTTTCTGCAGTCTCAAGAAAATGGGATAGCATTGCTAGGAACTAAGCTGTCCCCTTACCAGATGACTTTTAAATGACACTTAACTTGCTTGGAGAAAATAAGGAGGTCAAATGGTGACAAAGGAGTTTATTTCGTGCTTTGGTGAAAGCCTGTACAGGACACTTACCATGTACTTAAATTAGCTGCCTAAGAATTACACTTCAATGTACCTACTATACTGTTTCAGCAATCTGGAGATGTGTTCATGTAATTTCACTCTAGGATCTTAAGGTGGTGACACATTAAAATGCTTAACTGAAACCTGGCGGCACTTCACTGCCTCTGTGAGTAATCAGTTCTTTGGTGACCACAGGTTGGAAATTAGCCCAAATCACAGATTTATTTAACCATCCAAATCTTTTTATGAATATACACATTATTAAAGTCTTCTGTATAGGATTTTTTTTAGTATCAGTTTCATCTTGGCCTAGATAGGATTTTAAAGCAAAACTTACAGGTAGAAAAAAGGCTGAACATACTGAATTTGGAGAAATCTCCTTTTGGCGAGTTTCTTTCCCTTCTTTTGCAATTCTCTCACAATTTCACCCAAAAGCAGAGTGGAAAGCAGCGTATCTGCATTTCAGCAGACCTGACCAGGATGAGGACTTTATGCTGGGCCTCCGCTCACGCTCACGCTGGTACCGCTTGTAACTATTTCAGCCACCTCCCGCTACACACACACTCCTTTTTTTCCACCAAAAAGAGCGGCGGCCAGGACTCCCAGCGCCCCGGCTGCTCTGGCCTGCACTCTAACATCCTCTCCCGCCGCTGCCTCCCCGTCTGTCCATAAAGACCCGGGAGGGCGGCGGGGGACGGGGAGCCGGGGTGAGGGCGGACGTGCTCTTTGTTTACATTAAACAAACGACGAGCAAAGAGCTGAAGCAGTCTTTCTTGACCTCGTTCCCGCTCCCTAATTTTAACAAAAAGGAAAACAATATTGTGTCCGAGGAGAATGCGGAGGGCGGGCAGGCGCGCAGCAGCTTTCCGCCGCATTCAGGCGGGACGCGGGGGCGCCGGCTTCCGCCGCTTTGTGCCGCGCCGGGCGCGCTGAATGGGGCCGCCGGGCGCCGGCTGTCAGGCGGCTCAGCGTAATCGGGGCTAATGACGGCGGCGGCGGCGGCGCCCGGCGGGACAATGCGGCCGCGGGCTCTGCGGGCCCGAGTGGCTAATGGGGATGCCGCGAGCCGCGCGGGGCGGCCAGCGGGTCCCCGGGCGCCCCTGGCCGGCGCCGCAGAGCCCTGCGCGGGGCCCGAACCCGCAGCCCGCGGCGAGCCCTGCGCCCCGGAGGGCGCCCCCCTGCGGCCGGGTCTCCCCTCCGCACACCCCTTTCCGCGCGGCGCCCCGGAGCGCCCTCCACGGGTGCGACCACCCCTCGGCCGCCCGCCAGCTGCGCGAGCCGGAGAGAGACGCCCGCCGGGCTCCGATGGGAAGGCGCGGGAGCTCCCCGGCGGGGCGCCGCGGAAGGCAGGGCGCAGCCTGGGACCGTGCGGGGCTCCTCTGGGGACCCCGCGACCTGCATTCCCTGTCGTGAGCTCTCACAACTCACTTCGAGCTACATCCTGCACTGCGGCTCTCTGCTGGGATTCACATTCCTCGGCGCCGGCGCCGGAGACACACCAAGCCTTGCGGGGACGATGAGCGTCCTTTCCCTTTTCACCTCTTGGCTTGCCCAGCGCGGGGCGAGGGCGTCTCCCCCGCAAAGCAGCTCCTCGCCCCGGTGCCTCGGCTCCCCCAGCTCCGCTTGCCTGGGGGGAGGCCGCCCCCCCCCCACCGTGGGCTGCTCACCAGCTCATCCACCCAGCCTCCCCTTCCTCACCGAGTTTTGGAAACCACTGGACTCCCCGCCGAGATGTGTCCACTTCCTTTTTAATGTGCCCACTACATTTTATCCACATTGTTGTTAGTGTGTGTAACATTTTTGTGTTTCGGTTTGTAAGACTCCCTTTCCCTGTGGAATGTAAGCTCTTTAAGGGCAAGGATCGAATGTTACTCTTTGTAATTCCAGCGCCTAACCGGAGTAGTAGGTGCTCAATAAATATTTAAAAACCGAATTGATTAATGGATCGTCCTTGAAAACTTGTGTGCTCTGTATTAGTAGAGAACCTCTGTTAGTCCTGAATTCATTCAACAGCAAAGATGTCTAACGTTGGCTGGACCCGGGGTTCACTTACACCTTCTCGGTTCAGGTTTGCTGGCTTTTACTTGTAAAGTTCTCTGGGATAATTCGGATGATCTTTCCCTCTAGGCATATGATTTTGGGGTTCATAACAAAAGTTATCTTCTCACATAACATTTCCAAACTGTAAGATACGTCATTCTTCCACGCTTCAAAAATTGTGGCTAATACACATTGTACACCCTAAAAACCAGAATTTGTAACAATTCGTCGTTATGCCATATTTTCCATCTCCAAGACAACTGCTTTGCTTTGAATGTGTGTATCTCCAAAATTCCTGTTGAAACTTAATCCCCAGAGCAATAATATGAAGAGATGGAGGACTGCGGGAGGTGAGGGCTCAGCGCCCATGAGTAGAGGGTGTCTTTATAGAAGGACTGTTAGTTTCTCCCTTCAACCTGGAAGGCACTCGGGATTGAGCCCTTCAGCCTTGTGAAGACTCAGCAAAAAGATGACGTCTTTCCTGAGGCCTTGATCTTGGAGCTCTCAGCCTCAGAACGGAAGAGGCATTTCTATTATTTATGAATTGCCCAGGCTAAAGTATTTTTGTTTCTGTTATAGCAAGAGGAACAGGCTACCAAACTAGCCTTTTCCCTTCTCTCCTGTCTTCCCCCACTCTTTTTACCTTCCTTCCATCTTCACTTACAAATAAAAAGTAAACAACAATAACAACAAAAAACAAGTCAGACAGTGATCCAGTTTTAAAATAGTGGACTGGCAGCCTATCCTTGTGCTCAATCTAACCAAGGGGGTGAAAAATGGAGTTTTTATTAAATCCTAAATCATGAAAGCTCTATGAAAATATCCTTGGTAACAACCTCATCTCAATTTTAAAATTTAATGGACAGAAGCAGTTGAACTGTGAATAATCCTGAATTCTGATAAAATATATATAAAGCTGTCTCCTGGAAA